ATCCCATCGTTACACCAACGTGTGAGTGGACGTATCTTGTTATATTGCATCTCTAGACGTGAACGAGGATCGATAGTTTCAACAGAATAAGTATTGACACATAATATGATCCCTATTAATAAAATATCCTTATTTGAGTGCATGTTATAGTAACGACATGGTCCGCGGCCGACGCTACGGCCCTTCAGTGTAGTTTAAACTCACTATTAAGGCAACCGATCTCGGTAATTTTTTTTTAGGTACATACATAAACACAGTAGCTACTTTATATCCACCCTCTCCTTCACTACCCGCATACAGCTACCATCGATGACCCCTTGTTCTCGTCCATGGGTCCCAGATAGATATCCTATTACATTTTCTATTATCCCTGTAAATGTTCATCAATGCCTTCTCCCAACTTTACCAAGTCCTTCCTCCTCCCTCTATCTCGCCTTCCCCCTCCCTTTCCTCCCTTTCGCCCTCGCTCCTCCTCGTTCCACCTGTTCTTCGCCGTATGCGACCTCCTTCTTTTTAAAAAAATAAATCTGTCCTCTCCCCTCCGTCGCTTCCACCTCCTCCCTCCTCGTCTCGCCCTTTACCCTTCCGTACCCTCCTCCTCCCTTCAATCCCTTTTCCTACACCCTCCTCACTCGCCTTCCCTTTCCTCCTCTCCTCTGCTCCTCTCCCCCCATACCACAATCCTGAATATAAGTTTGGTATACATGAGACGAAATCAGGATAACGCCCTCTCCTTGCTCCTAAGCAAGGAAGAAATAACAGAAACGGCAACTACCCGACGTAAGGCTGAACCGTGAAAGAGAGCCACGAGGTTGAGACTACAGGAACGCGCGAAAACACCGGGAGTGCCAGAGTCATTCTAATGGTTTTTACCTCGGAAAGGTATATTTTTTTTCTCTGTTTTTTCACTCTTTCTCGTTTTTTTTTTTTCTTTCTTTTCTCTCAATTTCTTTATTCTTTTCGTTTTTTTCTTATCATTTGTTCAAAATCCGAATGGAGATTAAAAAGTGTTAAATATGTAGATTAATTTATATCGTTGGGATGTCTTAACTGCAATAGTTTTGCGTACGCCAATACGACCTCTGGTTCACCGTATAACAAGTGGGTCGGCAACCGAGATGTTGGATTCTTTCTTCTTAAGATCGTCTCTAATGTTATCATTATTGTTGCTATTGATAGGGGTTAGACGGTCAAGCACATGGTTATTATCGTTATTAATACCCCAATCTATAGTGGTGATTTCTTCAGAAATATCATATAATTGACGCAATATTTTATAAACAATGTTCGTTCTCATCTTGATTGATGAACGACCCATCTCTTTGGTACCGATTCCACAGTGAGAATATACCATTTTCAACATCTGAGAAAGATAATTTGAATGATGTTCATCCGCCCTCCCTGACTGGCACGACGAAATCTCACCCAACTTTAGACTATATTCGAGATCGGTACTGTTATCAAATTCGGAAAGTTTATGTATATTTAACATGTGTTTGAAGAATTAGGCTTCTGTGTTCATTATTGTTGTTACCGTATTCTTTCATCACTAAATCTTTCAGTGAGGATCGTCTCTTCTGAATGCGTTCTTTCAGCTCTTTGTTGATGAAGAGAAAATGTGGCGTCTTTTTTATATCATTAAACGTCGATTCGATGAGACCATCTCTTAATATCTTGAGCTTCTCTTTTACAACATTTAGGGTTATGGAAATTTGTAAACTTTGTAGAGATGTTGTCGAGAGTAGTGCTGTGATATATTCGGTCATATTTTTTATTTCCTAAAGATATAAAGTTTTTTATGTGTTTTGGATTCCATAAGAGTTTAGATCTGTCGATATGTTGAACGAGTTTATTTTCATTCTTGCCAAGAGTAATAGTGTTACGATACTGTTCTAACAAGTGATTGTAATCAACATCGTCATTGATATCATCACTTAATCTTTTACCAATTTCATGATCGAATCGAATACGAAGTAATTCGCTTAGAGTCGTCATTATCTGTTTTATATTCGTCTTCTTTATCAAATTATCTAAACCAAATATTTTAAATTTACGTTACAATTTTACATACGAATGAAATAAAAATATCAATCTTCAACAGCAACGGTTTTTATTATTATATTATTATTATTATTTATTCGATACTGGATCATTGCTTACGTTTTCTCTTGAACACTCTTCCGGGTGATGGTGTTACCGGTGACACGGGTGACGACTCGGACAACGATGATAAGACCTGTTGAGTATTTATAATCATAGAAGTAATATTTTTTATTTCTAAAATACCTTTGATTAACATAGTTGAAAGGCGTTTACGATTTTTCTGTAGATAGTCAAAGATGTGCTTTTTTATATCGTAGACCACTGAGATGTCTTTCTCAAGAATTGTCTTCATCAAAATTTTTAGAATCAGAATTATGGATAATGAGAGAATTGTCCATATGTATTTCGCTCTTATGCGAGGAATCAACATTATTCGTCTTGTTTAAGATATTTGACAGAATGAATATCGACGGATCAGTAGATGTATTTGATATATTGTTAATACTCCTTTTTAATAGCGATTTATATACTGTTGATGATTTAAAGGAACTCGACCATCGAATCATTATTAACGGAATTCCCAACCTAAGAGCCAGCTCTGCGACATTTTTTGAGATGTTTGTTTATATCGGGAAGTCCTCTCGTGAATAAACGAAAAAAATAATTCTATACTAGAGTGCAATATGAAAGACTTGTTACATGTCTCCGTGTTTATTGTTGTTGTAGTATACTGATCTGTACTGTAATAGGACTCATCATCATCAAACTCGTCATATTGATATGTAGTATTCTCGTCGCCATCATTTTTTTTCATTAATGAATCAATAACTCCATTTATAACTTGCTTTAAAATCTGTATAATAGACAGCCATTGTTTAATCCTTCCGTTTTGAATACCAAGAGTCTATTTATAAAATCGGTATAGTATTCCAAGCGTTCGTATTCGTCCGTGAATTCTTTTTCGTCCATCGTACTAATTTCGAATTCTAAACAAGAAACTTTAGTAGGGAGGTTATCCTGTAAAGTCATATTGTTGTGATAGACCCTAGCGTATCCGTCGAATATGGGATTGGCCAACAGCTGATTTTCCTGTAAGGTCGTCAAAAGAGAAATATTAACCTCGCGCTCATTTGCATCCGATATGCAATTCATTTTCTTACATTCTTCCAACTTTTTAATCGTGAGTTCTATAGTTATAGTCTTTCGTAGCTCTTCGATCTGATCCACTGATGGGAAAGGAGGTAGATCGTCAATACCTACACCTGCTTTAATGGCTTCTTGTCTTTTATTGAATAGATCAATAACAATTGCATTACATTTTAGGTGTCGTGTCTGTTCCTCCAAGAGTTTAATATTGATACCTTCTATGGTTAAACTTGTTTCACGTAATCCTTTTTCTATATTTGGTCTAATGTGATTGTTTACATTATTCATTAGTTGATGAAGAGATGGTGGTTGTAGTTGTTGTTCTTTATCGTTGTCATACGGTCTTTCATCATTGTATTTATCTTTATCAGACCTTGATATTTCGATTACTGGGTTATCGAGTTTTAAATTCTCACCTAGAAAGAAATCGCTTTTATCGATATTGCTATTTGTACTATAACCGCTGCTGCTACTACTACTCCTATTATTATTATCATTATTTTTATTAATAATATATCCGTTCCGTTTATCATGAGTATCGCCACCAATACGATCAATGCCTGCAGCAATGTCATCGCTGCAATCCTCCTTGTCTATGGATATATATTAAAACTCTGCTGTGTTTCGTTTCCTTGGTGTAAATCATAAATATAATAATTTTGAGGCTGGTTATCAGCGGTATATATTGTTTCAATAATACTGTTGTTGCCAGAAGATAAATGTGGTGGCCGCATTGTTATTGTCGTTTGGTCTGCTTTTTGGGTTAACGTTTGGATACTGTCGGTATCAATGGTAGTAGTAAACGAGACGTTAAATGTGGTGA